CCTAATAGTTCACATTTTAAGGTCTTTTGATTTTCCCTTGGTTTAGATATACTCATGCCTTATTTTATTCAGTAATGTTAGCCAATTACAACAAGATTATTGAAGCTGAGGATAATCGACACCTACATTGGACTTCTCATGCAGGGACTTTGGATGGGGTTGATTTGTGGCCTGTTTTGCCAAGCTTGCACGCTCCTCATCATCACACTCCGCACTAATTGGTCAACCATAGACCTGTCTGTGCACAAAGAACAACCTTTACTAGTATGATCAAAAGCATAGAAGAAGCACTTTGGCTTACAATAATATCAATAGCCAATATTGAGAGTCATAATCAGGTCACTAATAGAGCAATGTCTCATATTCAAGTGAAGATATATACTTGTAAGAGGAACCTTGAGTTTTTTAATAATTTATTAGACTTTGATATATGTATTTTTGGTGTAATGGATGCCATCGAGCTGGTCATTTACCCTGAAGGAAGAGTGCAGTTACTACTTTTCATTGTAGATCATGTGCAGAAGTTGTTCATCTTGTTCCCTCTTTTGTACATGATGAATATAGTGAATGTGGAAATACTGTTTCATTCAAACCAAGAATAATTGTGCCCTTCACTAGTCATCAACACATGATTGAATGAAGATATGGGTAAAATTTTCAATAATTCTATGTTAAATTATCTTTGTCTCTATTAATCTTTGAAATATTTATGTATATAGCTCTCTCTCTCTCTATATATATATATACATATATCTCAATGAGAGGTCAACCATAATTTGAAGAATGTATTTATGAGGAGAGAGTCGGGAACTATTGGTTTTGATGATGCTAGTATTAAGATTGTAATACATCAAAATGAGAAATGAAATTATTTCTCAAATTTTATATAAAAATAATTTCATTTTTTAATTATTAGAAGTTATAATGTTTAATTTTCCACACATGGTTAGGGGTTTTAATTGGAAAACTTTAGATTGGCTAGGCATTGTGTGCATTTAATTGAATAATAATGTGAGTTTATAAGTGATATTTATCATTAATAAATTTTAAGATGATTCATTACTATCTTATGTGTTACTAAAATTAGTTAATGATAAATTTATGGATTGAAATGAAGGTCCCTTGTTCAACAAATTCAGTATGCAAATTGACATCTGATAAATAAGATTTTTATAGACATGAAATTTGGTAACATATGTAAGCACCCATATGTTGGAACTATGGGCTAGGTGAAACATTGATAGGTGGGGGTAAACTAGGGTTTCTAGGATTTTTATTGATTTTTTGATTTATGTTACACCTATGTATATATGTCACTGAATGCTTCAACATGTGTGTTGTGTGAGGTCAATCATCACTCTCCCATTAAGAACATAACATTTTTTATATTGATTCACTCCTCACTTTACTATTTCTAATCCTAGAGGGAAGTTCCTTCTAGTATTCACTAATTCCATTAGGATTACATGATGATATTTATAGGATCAGCCATCCAAACATCTCAAGTTCATCTCCTTGGTAACTCAGCCCCTCCTAAATCCAATACAACTACTAACACTTCGTGCCTTCTCTCAAAATACTTTCTCCCATTGCATAGTTACCTTAGGGCTTGGTAGAGAGCAAAGACCACAATGATTGAGTTATTTATTTGTTAGAATCAACCGATGAAGAGCATGCAGAGTTCTTGTACATCATTGATGCATAAGTTTGGAAGAATTTGATGCTAAGCCTCAAACCTTTGTGTGTTCAACTCATTTTTTATTGAGAAGACTTCTTTCACAAGCCTTTACCCTTTTCTCTAATTTGTTATGTCTATTGTTCAAAATTAACATTCAAAAATTTACTATTTTCTGGAACACAAGGTAATGAAATTTAGCTTTTCAATCTTTGAATCTCTTTGAATCTCTTTTCATTCCAATTTGAGCAAGAGTTTTTAACATATTGCCACTTAGACAATCCAAGACCGAAAGAACATAAATACAGAATTGGCCCCCTAAACAGGCCAAGATGGCATTTTAAATAGCGACTGCTGGTAGAGAGCAAGGGGAAAGCCATAGGCCAGCTTGCCCATCTTTGCAATTAGATGGCCATAGCTCCCCTTCCCTCTCTAAGCCAACAAGTGTGGTGGTCCCCACTACATTATGTTGTACAACATTTTCAAATCAATCACTTTTTAATGAAATTCATAAAATTCAAATGGATAGGATTTTATAAAATTAATGAGATACACACGTTTGTTCATGTGTAAGCATCAATGATTAAAGTAAAGTAGAATATTCATTTTCTACATGTGTAGACTATTAAAAACTACTAAAAGTAAAACTAGATAACATTTGATTGGATTTATCATAGAGTTAACATGACTTAGTCATTGTATAATAAATCATGTAAATTTAATATTTATAAAAGAAAATAAAGTAATTTCTAGATTTTTAGAAATATTTTAAAAAATAAATTAATTATAATTTAATAAAAGATTTGAAAAATAATAGGGAATTTTTAAATCGATCACATATATACAAGATAATATCAAGTAATATTTTAAATTTTTTTCTAAAAGAATATGATTTTTTATAATTTTTAGACTAAATAATAAATATAAATATACTTAAAAATTTATGAAAAAAATAATGGTATAGACATTAGGATGATGTTAACACCTTGAGGAATGTGATGTGGACAAAAATAGAGTTTCGCCTGATAATTCTTATATAAGTGATTATAGACAATTTAATAGGTCAAATTAAAACCTATGAAAGTCAAAAGAATTATAATTGAATGAAGAAAACTTTTGAAACTTGAAATCATATAGAGTATCATTAAATTAAGTGAAAATTAAGTTGAAAGTAGAAAAAGTCGAGTTATAATCTCTCAATAATAATTGTCAAAATTTTATGTGTTTTAGAAGATCATCGAATGATGTCCACAGCCTCAAAGGCTTTTCTCTAACATAGACGACTTAGGCATTTGTTAGATCTCATTTCAAAATCTAGAAAATGATAGTGTAAATTAAACTAATTAAAAAATAAATAAAATATAGTTCTAATGTCACAGTGGCAATGGGTTGAAATCCTAAACATTCAAGAGGATTGTCATGTAATGTCCATAACTTCAAATGATCTCTTTGGACAAGGATGATGTGAGAATCTCTAGATATTCTTGCGAAGTCTAAAAATCAATGAAATGAGTCATCGAGTCATCTTAGACAGTTGTCACTAGGTGAAGCAGAAAAATAGTGACTTTATGACTCTCTAATGGTTGTCACCTGATAGAGACAAGTTAGATGAATGTGGGACATATCTTAAAGAGCTTCATCATCAAGTTCATATAATAAGAGGAAGCTCTTCATCACATTTGGTACGTTCTTAGGAGGTGGTGACTTATCTCCTAATAGATCATCCTCTTTCTAACGATGACTTGTTCATCGATTAATCAAATATTATTTACTAGATAGATTCACAATCATTTTATCTAAAATTATTTAATAATTTTAGTAATGATGTTTTAGAAATAATGTTAACAAAAATTTTGTCGATAATTGAGTGATTCTAATCACTTAATCATTCATTAGAAATCTACAAGAAAATTATGATTTAATCAAATAAAAATATGAGTTTTGGCTCTAGTAAGATTCGAATCCTTGTTGGTCGCTTGCATGAGGGAGAGTGAAATAAATACATGAATATCTTTCTAAAGTGATGACATCAAGATACCTCCCTCTAATAAATATAGAAAAATTTATAAAAATTTGAATAGTCTTTCAATATCATCAATCAACTAAATGACACTAAACTCAAATTTATTCCAACTCCTCATCTACTTGATTGAAGTTCCAAAAGCTTCTAAAATTAGATAGCTTCCCTACATGAAGAGGACAAGGAAAATCAAGTCAAGTACAATGTCTTATTCATCAATCTTCTAGGTTAAACTTCAGTCAATGCTTGCATATAGAAATAATCCATGATGAATTTCTTCCTTATGTTAATGGTAAGAATTTGTGGGTAATGATTCATTTAATCACTGAAGAGAACTAACTATTATACCAATTGACTGGCCTCCTAGAGCCATGAATTCAGAAGAGAAGTTTGCTATGACATTGTGTGTGAGTTGAGCCTAGTAACTTGTGAGTGTTTGCTAAATAGTTGGTTTAGAGGAAATCAAGAATTGGATGGTCTTGAAAATTAGAAATCAGTAGTTTCTGAACAACTATAAAAATTCTTACATATTTACACTTAGATATAGAAAAATAATAAAGCTCTGATCAGATGAATCATATCAAAGATCTTAAGAAGAATTGATTAAAGTCAAAAATAATCTCTGACCAATTTAAACTCTCACTTCCTAATTTAACTGTGGCATAATATTCAACACATAGGATGGAAGGATGAAAACTCCAACACATCATCTACTATTACAAGACGAGTAGTAATGACACTCTTTGCTCATTGGCGAAAATCACCAGATCTATGACATCCATTAGACTTAACATTTAAGAAACTATGACAAAAATAGAGGATCCTCCTACAAGGTATGCATCTTAGTTTGAATATGAGACATAACTCAATTAGTCACCTAATTATGACTCTCAATATTCGTCTATTGACATTATCAATAGCAAAAGTACCTCTTGTATTCACTTAATTATACTAGCAAAGATTGTCCTGCCCTGTAGATAGTTGTATGGTTGACCAATTAGCGCGAATCATAATGATGAGGAGGGAACAAGCTTGGCAAAAGAGGCCACATACCAAGCCCATCCAAAGTCCCTGTGCAAGAAGCCCAATGTAGGTGTCAATAATCCTCTAGTCTAGTTCTAATTAGCTAATATTGAACAAATGAGAACACTTTTATTTTCAAACCAAGGTAAAATAAAAAATGTTAAAATCAACTATTGGGAAACCTTGGAGGATGTTCTGTTCTAGTGGCACCTTGATATTGATTGCACAAAGTTCTACATGTATAAATGCTGTGCCAAAAGCCTTCTATATATAGTTGTAAAAATCATAACTTGCAGTAAAGAAAAATATTTATAAACCACATCTTCGTTAACAATAGTTTTTAGGTTGTCAAGATATGCCCAAGAATACAACCTTATCATAGAACTTCAAGGTAAATCCTAGAAGAAGTGCGATCGGCAACCCAATTACATAGAATGCTGCTAAGTTGGTCCATGCTTCTAGATGCTGCCAACCACACCCTCTTGATACCCCTACGTCAATGTAACAAATAGTTAGTAAGATAATAAATATCACTATTATGTATGAATTATTTTCCTATGACAATTACCTGATAGAATCCCTTGTACTGAGTCTAGTAGTATGGAGATTGAGAGTAGTGGGGTCATGTAGGCAAACTCCCTAGAGATATCTGGGCTACTACTGAAGAAGTTAACCCATATATCATGACCAAAACTCAAAATCAAGATGATTGTCACTGCAAGAATCGTTGATAGCTTTAATGCCACTCTTACTACATTCTTTGCTTTGTCCACATTTCCTGCCCCCAATTCATTCGCCACACGTGTACTTCAAAAAAAGAAAATTTATAATCCAATAAAATTAGAAGAATAAATATTTTTCTTTTTATCAAATCATCAAGAGAAAGTGATTATGCGTACCTAACAGCAGCACTAAACCCAGAGATGATCATGAATAACACATCTTCTGTGTTAACACTAACATATACCAACAAGTTTGTTGCATTCATAAGAGAAAGTTAGTATTTATTCTATATTCAGTTTGTTGCATTCAATAAATTTTTTTGAATAAAACATGACAGAAGTAGATGGCTCCTACCACATTGCAACTAGTGAGGTGCTCCTCTGTGAGTGTGGCATCAGACCAGCAAGTAAAACCAGAAGTTCAAAAGCCCAGTATTCCAAGCTGCGAGAGTAATATCACCAGAGAAAAAAATCATATCTTCGCTATTAATAAGTTTAAATGATTCAATAAAAACTATCAATAAGTTTGAGTTCCACACATAAAAGACAGAATAATAAGCCTATTTTTTATTTGGTTCTATGAAAGTGAGATGGGAAAGCGACCTCAGCAAGATTGGTAGATCTGAACTGATCAGAGATGTTGTAGGGGCTAATAATTTCGGGTAAAGTTATGGCCTTTAGCCTAAAATCTTGTGATAGTGTTTCTATGATTTATTCAACCAGAACAAGCCTGAACTGCATATTATAGAAGCTAAACATTGGTTCATTTAATGTCACAAATTCCGTTTCAACATAAAAGTTCTGAGCGAATTGACTGAGTAAATGAAAGAAGATTCTATCTTCTTGGGCTTATATCATATGATCATGTCTAACTTTAAAATACTTCCTAGATGGTCACCGTGTATCAAATGGGGAGAGAGTATGCATGGGAGAGAGTGGAAGGGAGAGGGAGAGGGAGAGGGTAGGGTGGGGAGAGAGGGAGGGAAGAGCACACCAGAGCATGACGGCTGATGGAACGGCGAGCCGCATGCTGGGGAGGACATAAGTGAAGGCCTCGGTGGAGAAGCCCTGCCAGGTCTGGGAGAATCTCTTCGAGAACTTAACATAGGAGGCTAGCATCAGGAACGATGTCCAGAGTGACACGGTCGCGGCTGCGGGGGCGCCGGCGTACCCCATGCCTGCTGGGTTCACCAGCACGTAGGTGATCACTACGTGCAGGGCCAGCGGCCCGACCGAGCATACAACGAGCGGCGCCACCGCCGACTGCGCCTGTATGAACCTCAGCAAGCACTGGAGCAGCCCATAGGCGAATAAGGCCGGGATGAGCGGCCGCATGTACGCGGCGGCTGCGTGCGCCACGGCCGCCTCCTGGCGGAGGGCGATGAGGATGGGCTCCGAGAACCACCAGACGACAGCGGGGACGACGGAGACGGAGACGGCGGTGATCATCGACGCCTGCAGATAGATGCCCATCGTCCGGTATAGCTTGGCGCCGTAGGCCTGCCCGCAGAGCGTCTCCAGAGCTCCGCTCAGCCCAATCTGGATGGCAACATTCGAAACTTTGCCATTTTTTAGGAACGACCAGGTAGTCTCTATCACGTGCGGCTTTACTCCGGAAGAATGAGAGTGAGTGAGTGAGTGAGTGAGTGTGTGTGAGTGAGTAGAGAGAGAGAGAGAGAGAGAGACGTGTGGGGGGGAGGGGGGGATACCACTAGGGCGAAGCCAGTGACGGTGGCCCAGGAGTTTGCGAGGGTGGAGCTGGCGAGCTCAAGCTCGCCAAGGTGGCCGGCGAACATGACGGAGATGAGGGGGATGCAGCAGTACGCCACGTTCGTCAGGATCATCGGCAGTGAGAACGCCACCTGCTGCGTCACCTCCTCCGCCGCCTCACTTCGCCACCATCTCTCCCAAGCCCCGCCACCGTCCGTCTCCTCCAGCAGCGGCGTCTGCGAAACCATGTCTCTCCCTCTCTCTCTCTCTCTCTCTCTCTCTCTCTCTCTCTCTCTCTCTCTCTCTCTCTCTCTCTCTGCACAGCAGTGGATTGAGAAGACCGCCCATGTTATATATCAAGTGGCAACATAAGACAGGGGACCACCGTTCCGGCGTCAATGTAGCACAAAAGTATTATCCCATTATTATTTGTTCTACAAGCTAAGATTAGGACGTCACCATCATAACCTTCAGCCCTTGCCTTTCCGCGTTTATAACTTTAGAGAGAGAGTATTAAAGGGTCGAGTATTAACTCTCTCTCTCTCTCTCTCTCAGGCCCCAAGTGGCAAAATACGGGGATGACTTGTGGCTAGGGGTGAAAGGCCAACCAAGATCGGATATAGCTGGTTTTCCCCGAAATCTATTTCAGTAGAGCATATGACGTCGATGACCCCAGGTAGAGCACTCAATGGGCTAGGGTCACACGGTCAACACTCGGGCCCAGAGAAATCCCATGATCGATTCCGGGCCCAAAAACTGCAAATGACCTGAGGCTCCGGATCCACATAGAAATCGGGCCCGGCCCGGACGGTACACGTAGATCATAAATTGGCTCGTGAGAAACCAGCTTGGCGGAGGATAGTACGTGGAAACTCAAATACCAAGGGACAGAGGACGAGGCGGAAGTGAACAAGTGGCAGTGGTTTGGCCAGAGACGAGCCAGTGGGAATAACCCCGGCGGGGGGCCGCCGGCGTCGGCAGGCACATGGGGTAGTTCGGCGAGGTCCCCGACGTCAGCATTATGCTATACCTAGATCTATCCTAGAGTTTGGCGGGTGGTGGGATTGCGACACCAGAGTGAGTGAGAGAGAGAGAGAGAGAGTGAGGAAACGGGACGCTAGGAGGGAGAGAGAGGGAGTGAGTGAGTGCGGGGCGCTGAGGGGGGAGAGAGAGGGAGTGAGTGAGTGAGGGGCTCTGGGGGGGGGGGAGAGAGAGAGAGAGAGTGACGAAATGGGGGCGCTAGGGGATTGAGAGAGAGAGAGTGACGAAATGGGGGCGCTAGGGGATTGAGAGAGAGTGAGTGAGGAAAGGGGTCGCTAGGGGGGAGAGAGAGAAAGAGGGTAATCAGTACGAGGCAGGAAAAAGGGGTACACACTCACCATGTGAGGTCAGTTATGTGCGAAAGGTCAAGTACCGGATGAACAACTGAAGCAGTGCTCGCTAGAGAGAGTCTATTTAAGGGATGAATGGGACCACTAATCTTGCGACTGGTGGAAATTGAGACAAGTGACAAGAGAAGAAGAAGGAGAGAGAGAGAGAGAGAGAGAGAGCAATTTGCAAGTGGTAGAAAAAAGCAGGAGTCATTCATCACGTGAGGTCAGTTATGTGCAAAAGGTCAGCACTGAAGCAGTGCTAGACCTTCGCTCTCCGCCAATTATAAAAGTTCTTTACCTTGGGACATTGAATTTCATAATGAGAATAGGGATTTACCAGTCAAAATAATTTTCAATATTAATAAAAAAATATTTCTTCCATTACTCATAAAAAATGGTAGCTATTTATAAGCATTTAAAGGACTGAATATGAAATACAATTTGTTTCTATAAAATACTCATATTGATGAACTATTCTGGAGAATTTATTGATTTGCATACTGAAAAATTTGAATATTGAACGTAACTATCCACATGTAATATAAATCATTTCTACTAAATTATTTAACATGTACTATCTCATATTTTGTCACATAAGATTGGTTGCCCAATGATATTCAGTCCTCTATCCCTCTATTGGTATAGCTCTCCTATCAAGTGAACCTAATCATTTCATAGAAGAAAAATAAAAAATACAAATGTACTAAGGTTAGAATAGAGTTTAGGCAATACATTTAAGGTTCATGTGAATAAGTACTTCATCCTTGTGTATGTATATTTGCTATTTTATCCTTGTGTATGTTTTCTTTACAATGAGTTGAGCCTTATCTTGTCAAATGAGTTAGTTAATTTCCCTATTTCATGTGAGAACCTTGTTAAAAAGAGAATTGACTCTTCCATCTACTATTTGAGTTGACTCACTTTCTTAATCACAATAGTGTTGAGACTCATTCACACAAAGTGGGTTGACAAACTTCCTTGAAATAATAACTCTTTCATTAATAGTTAAAACTTCTTATTACCTAGTAAGACAACTCAATTCCTACAATCAAGTAAAAACACAAAAGCATTAAAACCAAAACATGTAAGGCTTTAAAAGTATGTTGGCTTTGAAAGCTAATAATGGCTTGACTCACTTGGTGTGACCTAATATTTGTATTTTAAATCACACAAATATAAATTTATAAAAATGGAGTTTGAAATTATTTCTACATAAATATATTAATTTAAATTGAGTGCTCTAAAAATAGTAAGAATTTTCTAAGTCGATCAAAAAGATATGATAACACTGAGTAAAATTTTAGAATTTTTCTCAAATAACATAATTTTATACAAGTTTTAGAATGAAAGATGGCAAGAAAATATTTCAGATGTTGAGATTAGGTAGGCATCATCACCAGCTAGAATAAGGATTTAGGGGAAAATAGAGTGTGATCATTGAAATTGAGATTTGAAACCACCAAAATAATTGTAATAGATCAGAATGAGTTTTAAAACTTAAATTTGAGTAAAAATATAATTAGTATAATAAATGAGTTTAAACAATAAACAAAGTTCTAGCATCATAATGGTGATTGGTGGAAATTTTAGTGTTTGGAAGGTCTCCAAGTTGTGTCCAAGGCCTCAAAGGCTCTTCTTAGACATCCACAATGTAGGCACTCTCTAGATTCTCATGTGAAGGCTAGAGTTTAGAAGTTCAAGTGATGATGAAGTGGATCTCTAATGGGTGTCACTTAGTGGAGCAGAGATTGATGAAGATAGGTCTCTAGTGGTTGTCACCTAACAAAGTAATGATTGATGGATATAGAGTGCAGCACATGGAGCTTTGTCCTCAAGCCTACATTGTAAGAAGAGGCTCTTATCGTAAATAGGGCACTTTTAAGAGACCATGACAAGTCTCTTGATAGATCTCTTTGCTCTCAACAATGGCTTGCCTACCAACAACAAGAGATGAGATTTCCTTTGAGAAGCTTTTGTTTTTCTACCTAAAATCTGTCATCAAATGTTGAAGATCCATATTTATCATTGATGAAGCTTCCATCAATGATTGACCATTCTCTCACTCTTTCTATTGACTAATCCCCTATAGATAAACCACAAAGTCAAATAGGGAAATCCTTTGGCAATGGTGATTTTCCTTAAAGCTATGGTGGTCAAGTGACAACATATGATTTGCTACATAAAAAAATTAACTAGTTTCTCAATATACCCTTGAAATAATGAAAACAATCAATGTTTTACCTTCTCTATATATAGGGGTATTTTCAAAATTATTTTGACTAACTAGAGTCAAAGGTTTAGTACCATATCAGTTGTTTGGGAAAACTTTGATCTATATAAATTTGGGTTTAGTCCCATATGAGTTTCTCCTCCCATAAGTAGAATGGCCAAGACCACCTAAGGAGAATAGATAACAAGTGCTCCACCCCCATGTAACACGTGTAATGAGATCATACCTTACCCCACACATTGATTATTGGTAATAATGTGGAAGAGGAGTGATGCACATTTTCTTGTGAAGAGTACTTAAGCTAGTTGAACACTAGCTTATGGCACCTCTTGGTCTAGGTTCACCCACTCAAATAATCTTCCCTTTGATTAGAGGATCAACTATCGAGTGACGATTGACTGGTGGGTTCCTCTTGATAAAACTTCATTATTATGAGTCAATAATTAATTAATAATATATTTTAAGTTTTAAATTATAAAAAATAGACATGCTTGTGTTAAATTGAGAAAATAGATTTTTAGTTGGTCAATGTAAATTTTTGGCTAATTATGTGAATTTATATAAATTTTATAATTATATTTTTAAGATAAAATAAATATAAATAAAATAAAATAGAAAAAGTAGGGGCCCAGCCAACCTAGCCCACAAGTGGGTTGAAAGCATAGTTAGGGGACCCACTAGTCAGTCAAACCCACTAGCGAGTCGGAAATATAATTGAATGATTTAAGAGTAGGGGGCTTGAGTAGTTAAAGATCGATTGATAGGTGATGTCTTCATTATTTGAAGTAAATCATTAACAAATAACATAGTTTTAGCCTTAATTCATGATAAATATATTTATATTTATTTTAGACTGTGAAAGGTAGTTGACTAATTATATAATTTTTATAATCTTATTTTTGAGATAAATGAAAAATGATAAAATAAAATAAAAAAGATAAAAAAATAAGAGAATTCATTGACCACTCGAACCCACAAGTACGGGTCAAAAGCACAATCAAACAAGACTACAAGTAAGAAGCTCGAGCATCTAAGGACAGACTAGTAGGAGACACATGTACATCACTCTCCTTCCACATCACTAATGACCAGTCAAGCAAGGGTAACACACACATAAGAGAGAGACTTATTGATCGCAAAATCTTGTGTTATTATATGTACACCTCAAAACTCGTAAAATAATTGATGTGGGACTAAATCAGCTTCCCGAAGGTTTTCAATTATTCTAATACCTAAAATACCTCTTATTTATAAGAATGAGATACCCTTATGATATCACTTTATAATGCTCACATACTTCTTTTACTCTCTCTTATACAGGTAGGTGACTAGTGAAAGTTTGAATCCTATTAAAACTAAAACTCATATTTTTATCTTTTTAAATCGTTGGATGATAGTCACTAGAGATGTACAAGCCATCAATATATTCTCTCCACCAAGTGATAGATATCAAAGATGATTCATCAACTCACCTCATCAATTTTTAAACTTTAAAAGAGGATCCAAAGATTGCCATCGTCATCTATATTTAAAAAGAGCCTTTGAGATTATGGATATCACACGATAATCCTCACAAACACACAATTCAAGTGATACCACCATAAAGTCAGAACTCTACCTTTCCTACTTCAAAATTAATTTTGCT